AGTGGGATGTGCCCTGTATGAGTGAAATCTTTTTTTGTTTTCTCCTCATCGGGGAACACCTATATATATTTCCTCTCACCTCACATATTTTGACTGGCGTTCTGCCATGTCATGGAACCTAAATTTTTCCTTTCACGACCTACCACTACTCCTAAGGCTATACAGGGGACCCCTGCAAGCACAGCTTTCTATCTCTCTTGTGGGTGAAGGGAGGATACCTCTCTCAGCACACTGTTCTTTTTTTTTTTTTTTAATACTTCCGGATGTCCTTCTGCATTATCCGTTAAAACTGGAACTAGACAGAGAAGATTAGCATGTCGCTTGCACCCTTAAAAAAAAAAAAAAAAAAAAAAAAAAAAAAGAAAAAAAAAAAAACCGTTAAAATTGGAACTAGACAGAGAAGATTAGCATGTCGCTTGCACCCTTAGAAAAAAAAAAAAAAAAAAGCGTGTCCCCTGCGCAAAGATGACACGCAGAAATTGAGAACTTGTTTAAGTTTTTACCAAATAAAAAGCCATTTCTCGACTTATGCGTGTCATCCTTGACTGCGCAGGGGCCATGCTAATTACTCTTTCTCTGTATCGTTCCAATCCTTTTAACGAATGTCCCGAAGGACACCAAATAAAAAGGCCAACTACACGGCACACAAGCAAAGGACGAGAAAGCCATGGCCTGCCGATGACCTGTTCTTTTTTTTTTTTTTCCAGATGTCCTTCCGCATTGTCCGTTAAAATTGGAACTACTATACAGAAAAGATTAGCATGCCGCTTGCAAGGATGACATGCAGAAATTGGGAACTCGTTGAATTTTAAACCATATAATAAAAAGCCAAACTACACGGCACACAAGCAAAGGATGCGGAAGGCATGGCCTGCGGATGGCGTGGGGATTGTCATGACTCCTGGGGTGAGGTTCCACTATCAACGAAGATTATATTTAATGCCTAAATCTGGACATGTTTGTGAAGCGGTGCCAGAAAAATCGCAATGGATGTGCTTTTTCTGCATCTTTGCAAAAAAACACATGCCGATTATCCTCTTTGCTACTGGGACCTCGGCCCTGATGACGGATCATGCCATTGGCAACACATTGCAGTTGTGTGAACTTGTGTCCCTCTGAATATCCGTTCAAATGGGAACGATACAGAGTACATGAGCATGCCCCTGCGCTTTTAAGGATGACGCGCATAAATAGGTGTTGCCTTGTGCTCCACTGAGCTATTGCCATGCGGCTCGTTCCTTGCAGTTGTTGCCTGTGGCGATGTGCAGCCGTGCTGTCTCGGCAGCGTTGCCTGGTGCTTCGCTGCTGAGTTGCGGCCTGCTGCTATGTTCTTCTTGGGGACAGTCTGCCTTCAACAAAGCTCGAAGGGTTCATGACCCAAAGCAACAATAGGGAGATTCCGCTGATGGTCGAGGGGTTCAGCCTCCTGATGAGTTGGTGCAACTCCGACAAAACAATATTGTGGTCATCAGCTTTTATTGTCATTTGCTCTAAGACTTGTGGTTCTCGTCGTGGATGATTTATTTCAGTGTGTTTTATTTACTTTGTGCTTTCTTCCTGTAGCTGCTTTTGTGTTGTTTGCTTGCCCACCCGGCTCCCCCTTGTGCCCACCTGCCTGTGAATTTCAAATTAAGATTGAAGCATGATATGAAAAACTTCAAGCTCCTGGGTTCGTGCCTGGCCCAGTGTTTTGCGTAGAACCTACCCGAATTTGTTGTACTGGAATCTACCGACAAAAAAAAAAGGTCTGCACAATTTGCTGCCAGAATCAAACATTGTAAGCCTCCTGTAACCCCTCCTCGTTCAAAGTCTCGTTGCTTTGTCGCCCTTTGCCTCGCTGCTTTATGTTCCTTTGCTGCTACCTGGTGCGGTAGCTGTCTGTTGCCTTGTGCTTTCATTCCTTGTCTTTGTCTTTTGCTTTACCAACCAGGGGGAGCAACCCAACTAGTATCTCAGTTGGTTGGCACCTGGCGTGCTCCAGGTGGTCAGTGGGGTTTGAACCCACAACCCCCTGAATGCCACTTGCGCAAATGTCCATACGCACACACCTGATGGCTATAAACCCTACCGATACCTATCTATCAGGCAGAGCAAACCGACTATCTCAGTCGGTTGGCAGCTAGCATGCCCCGGTGGGGATTGAACCCACAACCTCCTGAATGTCTCTTGTGTGACTAACGAGCACTGTCAGTTACTAAGGTTGAAGGTCCATACACACACACACACACACACACACGTGATGGCTAAAGACTGTATGGATACCGACCAGGCGGAGCAAGCCAACCATCTCTGAGTCAGATGGTTGACACCAAGCCTCCCCAGTCCTCGGGCATCCACCCCCCACGACCTCCTGCATACCACCACTTGTGTGACTTACCAACTAAGCCAGGTTGAAGGTCCATTGACTCATTGAATGCATAGGCTGGCATTTGAACGCCGTGAACGCGCGTTCAAATGTGCGTTTGAACGCGCGTTCGCGTTCAAAATATTAAAATGATTTAAAAAAATAATAATAAAAATAAAAAAATGAATGCCGTTCAAAATTGAACGGCGTTCATTTTTTTATTTTTATTATTATTTTTTTAAATCATTTTAATACCTAAAAATAATTTTGTTTTTCCGATTTTCTTTTTATGAGTTCTGTATGATGTGAGGTACATGCCTCTCAATTTAAAATCGCCAAAGATGGCGGTGTCAAATCTTGTTCGCTCACTAATTTCAATTCTTTTTTTACTTTTTTTTATTTTCTGTTTTCTATTTTTTTTTCCCAATTTGGTAACGAATTTAGATGTAATGCTCAAGATGTTATTTATTTTATTTTTCTTCATAACATTTTTTTTTTTCCGAATTTTTTGAGTTTTTTTTTTTTTTTTTTCCTCCCCGAATTGAACTCCGCGTTTGGTCGCGTTCATTGAACGCGCGTGCATTCCGTTCAATTTCTGAACGGAAAACCCGCGTTCAATGAACGTGCGGTTTCACAGCGCATCCGTGTTGCGAAGGTTCGTTGATTAATGAATGAGCGAATGGATAGGATTGTCTCTCAGGTCCTCCCTTGTCTCCTTTCACTCCTTGATGTCGTTCCCCCATCCCTTGACAGGCGTGAGTGGTTCCATGGGACCTCTTGGCTTGACGAACATCCTTCAGAGTGGATACCGAAGGACAAATATCCGCCCCCCTGGTTTTGGCAGTAATGCTCCTGGTATGGCGTTGGGGGGGGGTTCCATGGGACCCCTTGTGTTGATGACCATCCTCCGGAGTGGATACCGAAGTGGCCATGCATGTTGATGGGCATCCTGTACAGAGGTCATGCTGTCCAGGTTCATTGAATAAGATAGATTGTGTTTCTCGAGGACGTCATGGTCAAGGTCTACTAGAGGCCTATACATATCATGCAATGTGTGTTTGATGACTTTCGTCTCTCTGTTTGCCAGTGTTTGGGTGTGGTTCCATGAGCTGAGTTGGCGGTTGGGGGAGTGCTCCTCTGTTTATTCGTGGGTGCAATCGCCCATTAAGTGGATGCATTGGATGGGTGGATGGGTGGATGGGTCTACCTGACTTAACCACACAGCCTCCAAGATCCCCCTTTTGACTTAACCACACAGCCTCCAAGATCCCCCTTTTCCAAACTGAGACTTTCCTCCTCCACTCCTCTCTCTCCCCCTCAATCTCCTCTCCCAATTAATCCACCTTGCCCTCCAAGCTGATCTCTTGCAACGTTGTCTCTCTTTCGTTCTTCTTTGTCTGAAATTAAAATTTTGCAGGGACTTGTGGCTGTTACCGTAACAGGAGAAGTGCGGCTTCTTCTCGACTCTGTAGACAATGCCAGCTTGCCTACACCGTAAGTCACTGTGGCCTTTTTTGGCCCTTTTATCGGCTGTCTGGCTTGCTGGCTTCTTCTTTTCCTTTTGCCATTTGCCATAGTACCCTTTTCTGAGGGATGACTTAAATTATTCAATTTGTTCATTACGGGGGGGGAGCAACATCCTGGGGTGGGGTCCCACCTAGTAGTAACCTGAATTCTTCTCAGAACAAAATTATACTGACTTTGCTTCAAGACTTAGTGTGTAAAACAGAAGAATAGTACTGTTGTAGTGAGCTCATAATTGAACAAGTCGGAGTCTATTATGTTCTATATGGGAAAGATTGGATTTGTTTCCGGCTGTAGATTACAGGCTGTGGATCTGAAAGATTGAATTTGGGTGACTGGGACTCCGCCCCTAGGGCTAAAATTCCACTACCGTAACCGTCTTCACGTGAATAGAACGCCCGGTCATTATAGCCGTATTTGGGGCAACTTTCCGTCCTGATGCAGCCATTATGACCAGGTGTTCTATTCGGGTGAAGACGGTATCTGGCCCTGGGGCTGAAATTCCACTTGTAGGTTCTGGGACTGACATTCCACCAACAGGCCCTGAGGATGAAATTCCACCACCGTCTTCACCCGAATAGAACGCCCGGTCGTTATCGCTGTAGCTGAACTGAAAGCTGCCCCAAGTACACCTAGAATGACCGGGCGTTCTGTTCGGGTGAAGATGGTAGCAGTAGGATGAGCTTGAATGTGAGCCAACTGCTTGTCAGCCATCAAGAGTATGGATCTGCATGGTTGCGAATCTTTCTCCTTCCTCCTTCCTCCTTTTCCTCTTCCCCCTCTCTTTATCTCCTTTCCTCAGTTTTCTCCTTTCTTTTCTTTTGTAAACGGCGATGGCCTTGACTCTTGAGATATCACTGCCGAGCTGACCTGCCCCAGTTAATTCAGGTATTTCGTTCATCTAATTCCATCTGGATTCCAACTCAGGTCTATGTTTCAAGAGTTCGTGGGTGTACCAAATGGTTGCAAATAAATTTCCTTACATCTGAGGTTACCCTGCTGCTTGTGGATTTTCAGTTCAGTTCAGTTCATTTCCATGGGTAGTTTAAACCACCAGTACTTCCGATCCTCTTGTTTCTAGTGTGCATTTTTTTTTGCCTAAACTGCTGTGGTTTTGCCTTGCGCCCCAGCCTGTTTGGCCCAACCTTCTCCTCAGACTGGGTTGACCGGCAGGTGGGTGCAGCCGTAAGGTAGCTGGTGGCTTAACCGAAATGGAGAAATACATATTACACCACAAGACTTAGTACGTTTCCTTTTTTCTCCCACCGGCTGCATGCGCACCGTGTCCGGTGGGATGCACCGGCTTGCCATTTTGCTTGGAAAACTTCCAGGCAAAACAGGACAACGGCTCGACTTGTTTTTCCTGGATGTTTTCCAAGCAAAATGGCAGATTGGTGCATCCGGCCAGGCAGCTGTGTCAGAGAAAAATGGCCGGGAAACATCCTTGTTGTTCAAATGGTCGACCTAACGGATATGGCTTCATAACCTCCCTCGGTCTTTCTCGAGGGCAAACAAGGACAACAGTGGAATTTGGCAGGGAGCCAGTAGGCTTTCCAGCAACTTGGCTACTGCCTTCACCCGAATAAAACGCCCGGTCATTATTGCATCTGGCCTGACAGTTGCCCCAAATACACCTATAATGATTGGGAGCTCTATTCGCCGAATCGGGTGAAGATGGTAGGCTTAGAAAGGTCTGGTATGTGACAGGCTAGCCTGATGCCCAATGTTGTTGTCCGGTCGGAGTGGAGTGTAGGCCCGTGAAAGCGCGCTTTAAGGGGTGTGCCAAGGATTTTCGAGATTATGGGGGTGGACTTCCAGGTCTATCTTGTATAGCAGTTCCAGGAGTTGGGTTTTAGCCAAGAAGAGGGGAGGGAGTGAGTAAACCAGGGCTCAACGCTGAGGACGAAAGCTAGATTTTACAAACGAAAGAGACAGAGAGATAAAAAACTATTATTTTACCCAGCACACCATTTTACCCGGAATTTTGGATCCGGATGAAATTTCCGGATTATTTCTGGTTATAGAAAATACGACCCTGCACAAAATAAGGTTTTTTTCCTTAGGAAAATTTTTAAAAAATCTGAAAACAAAAGTATGCCGTAGTTATAAACAAGAAAAACAACTTTTGCCTTGATGTCATTTTTGATATCCCAACAGAAATGAGGGTGAAAAAAAATAAAAATTAAACAATATGTTACGATCCTGGCCAATTTCGAAGTATTCATACATCAGAAAGTACAATGCCGTCCAATTGCAAAAAGAAATAAATGAACTTGAGAGGAGAGAGAGGGAAAGAAGAAGAAGAAGAAGAAGTAAGAAAGAAGAAGAAGATGATGTACTCCAGCATAGACCAATGACAAGGCTCTTCTTCCTCGCCAACCAATCTCCTCCTCCTTATCTCCTCCCCTCTTATTCAAACAAGAAATAACAATAATAACGTTGAATGGTTGAACCAGAATCACTGTCTGAATCCTACTTCTACTGCAGGCACAACATGAGGCCCACCATAGCCATGGTCACCCTTCTCCTTCCTCGTCATTGCAGGCCGAGGCTATGGCGGACTACTGAGGCCTCAGCCTCCTGTCCAAAGGACAACCCAAAGCAGCTATGTCGCTGCCGCTTCAAGCAGCTATGCCGCTGCTCACTGAACCGCCATGCCTGACTCTCCCCAAGCTTCCTTGGTGCGGCACTACCCCAACGGGGGCCTTCCAAATGCAGCAAGGTGATGAAGATGGTGCCCACCAAAGCCAGGTAGGTACCTCGCCACTCTCCCCCTTGGTCCCCTTCTCCCTCCTCCTCCTACCGGCCGAGCTCCACCATAGCCAAGGTGGAAGCTCCCGGCTTCTTCCTCCCAGCAGCGCTGTAGCAGCCAGCGCTCTTCCAACCAGCGCTCCAACAGCGTGATGCCCAACTCACACACTGAAGAATGAGGCCGAGCTCTTCCCTCGGCCTCTTGATATAGCGGCCTGCTTGCCTCCTGGGCGGTGACTTCCAGGCCGCTCGGCCTCCCAAGCAACCGGTACCTCCTTGGAGGGAAACATCATTGCAGACTCTGATATTGCCCGCACAGGCTCTAGACTCAGACTGGATGGACTGGTACCGGCCTAGACCTAGCCTACCGCTATTGGGCCTCTAAAAATGCGAACTTTGTCTTCTTCTTCTCGGCCTCGAGTACCCGGCACATCTACTGCTACTGGGTGTGCACCGGCCTACCTGCTACTTGAGTGTTTTTCCGCTGCTCTAAGCACTGCGGGCCCCTGGCTCCGCTACTTGAGTGTTTTCCCTGCTGCAACCCTCAATGCCGACAGGTAAGTACCGGCCCTACGGCCTGCCAAACAAGCAAGTACCCTTGCGGGTCACACACACACTCATGCCGACAAGCACTCAGACAGGCACGCAAGTCAACAGACACACACACATACAGACTAAGTCTTAGAAAACACAGCAGAATGCGGGAATCTCAGCAAGGCATCCATTCCATCGGCAGAACTTCAAAAATCAGCAGTGTTCTCAGTCTGTGCTATGGCATCCTAGACCTAGCCTACCGCTACTGGGCCTCTAAAAATGCCAACTTTGTCTTCTTCTGCTCGGCCTCGAGTACCTGGCACATCTACTGCTACTGGGTGCGGTACCGGCCTACCTGCTACTTGAGTGTTTTTCCGCTGCTTTAAGCACCGCGGGCCCCTGGCTCCGCTACTTGAGTGTTTTCCCTGCTGCAACCCTCAATGCCACGACCACAGGTAAGTACCGGCCCTACGGGCCTGCCAAACAAGCAAGTACCCTTGCGGGTCACACACACACTCATGCCGACAAGCACTCAGACAGGCACGCAAGTCAACAGGCACACACACATACAGACTAAGTCTTAGAAAACACAGCAGAATGCGGGAATCTCAGCAAGGCATCCATTCCATCGGCAGAACTTCAGAAATCAGCAGTGTTCTCAGTCTGTGTTATGGCGGGGCATTACACTTACCCCCCCCTCAAGAGCGAGGTCCCTTCGAGCGAGTAACTCAATCAGAGTCCTTGCATAATGCATCATAAGCATAAATAGCAAAGAGAGATCGGGTATGTTCCGTAGGAGTGAGGGTAGCAGTGAATTTAGGCTGTTGTTCAGAACTAATCAATCGTTCATATGCGTTGACGACTCGCGGGGCACTCTGCAGCAAGTCTTTCTTAGCGATCCAGTAAAAGTTGTTCAACGGGTGGTACAGAAAATGGACTTTGTACTGTCTGTTTCTTCCCTTTCCACTGTGCTCGACAATTCTATCAACCTCGTGACCGCCATTGATTGCGCGGGGAATCATTGATTCTCGATACGGAGAAGTTTCAGGTGGGTCATATGGAAACAACTTCGATGCATGAAAGACTGGGTACGTGCGCAGATGAGTAGGCACGTCGATCGTGTAACAAGGACCAAAGGAGTCATCTCCTACTCGGTTCAGCACCTTCCACGGACTGTAGTACTGAAGAAGAAACTTCCGTGATACAGCTTCTTCTTTCGAAAACTCAGACATCTTAACCCAAACATAACCTCCCACTGTGAAAGAGTCAGGCTGACGCTTTTGGTTTGCATGTTGAATCATGGTACTGCGTCGCCTTTCTATAGTTGCGACAACAACTTGAGCAAACGATCAAACTTAGTGCTGTAGCATGGTTGGCCAGGTGTCAGGCTAGGTGGCTGTTCAGGAAACAGATAGGATAGAGGATTGCGAATTTTCCACCCCAGGTGCAGCTGGTTAGAAGTCATCCCGGTGGAGGAGTGTATGGAGTTGTTGTACAACCCCTGCACAATCGGCAACTCCTCATCCTAAGAGTTCTGATCAGGCACAATTACAGCTCGGAGAAGTTGGATCACAGTCTGGTTGATCTCCTCGGCCAGCCCATTGGTTTCGGGAAGTCGACTAGATGTCATCTTGAGTTTGATGTCGTAGATCTGGGGGGTGAAGTCCTTCCAATCTGCACTTATG